CATGCTTTCCTTATGTTCGATTATCATTGTAAACGTGTTATCTATTCACTTGTGGTACATTTCGATTGAGTTGAGATGACTATGTTATTGTAATTTTGATGTATCCTTGTGTGCTTCTCCCTAAAAAAAAGAGAATAAAAAGTGAGTTCGCGAGGAAGTACGGATTAGGCTCCTCTTATTCCGAGCCATTCGTGGATTGGGATAATGAGCCTGGGAAACCGGTCTAAGAAACTCGAGGAAACCCCTCGAGGTTAAACCTAGGGAATGTCGTCCGGAAACCTCGTTTGGAAACAGAAGCTCACAAAATGAGTTTGTGGGAGTCGAATAGATTAGGCTCCTCTTGGCTCGGTTAATTTTCTAGATAGATCGGGTCAATGAGCACAGGAAACCGGCCTAGGCGACTCGGGAATAACCCCCGAGGTTAAACCTAGGTAATAATCGTCCTAACGACTCTCATTTGGAAAAAGTGGCTCATTTAAAAAAAAATATAATTAAAAAAAAGAAGAGAAAAAGAAGAAAATCGGGGAGTTGGCTTATTGATCTCGTGCTTATTATTTCATGTTTTGTAGATCATTTATGGTTTTCGCACGTATATGTGAATGAGGGAGTTTGACTCGAGCAATCATTTGTGGGATGACTTGGGACGAGTTTTTGTTTCGTTTGATTCATTATGTGGGGACCGTGTCTCGGATTGGATTTTGACTTTGGGATAACCGGATGATAATGAGAGTTTCATTTCGCATGTTCATTAATCTTGGACCGTTCGATTTATTTCTTCGAGCTATTTGTTATTTTGTTTGCTTGAGGACAAGCAAAAAGCTAAGTGTGGGGGAGTTGTTTATTGTGTTTTTGTGCTTATTTTCGTGTGTTTTATGTGTTTTAGTTTAGTGTTTTTAGGTTCGTTTTAGTGTCGACCGGTCCATTTTATCGTATTTTGTGCATTTTTATTCTCGTATTGTGTTTCTGTGGTTCGGCATACTTTTCTTGTCTTTTTGGTGTTGTTTAGGTCCACATTATTCTATCTTGGGAAGACGATCCATTTTCGAGACATTTTCGAGTCGTCTGAACCATATTCGAGCCACACGGGCCATTTCCGAACCATTCCGGGCATATTATTAATTGCATGGTGATATCAATTTGTGCATCTCAAGACGAGGAGAACGAGATTTGGAAAGCGTGGGTCAAAGTTTCAAGTCAATCGGATAAGTGTGCGCGAAGTTATGGCGAATCGAGCGTCAAGGGGCCATCGAACCATTCCCAGTGCCCGCGAAAATGACTTCGCGCCCGCGAATCCCTCCTAACCCGCGAGTTTCCAGCATGCTGCTCCCAGTGCCCGCGAGTTCCAAGTTCGCACCCGCGAAACGAGCATAGCCCGCGAGTTGCCCAGCTGTGCGTCGCCTATCCCGCGAGTTCTTTGTGCCGCAGCCCGCGAATCCCTTCAAGCCCGCGAGTGCTGCTTCCGCCAGCCATCGCCCGCGAGTTCCCACGCCCGCGCCCGCGAACAACGCCCAGTGCCCGCGAGTCCCATGCCTTGCTGCAGTGCTCGCGAATTTTGCTAGCGAAAATTCACCCTTTGCTCGCGAGTTCAACCTAACCTGCGAGTTTTCCTTATTAAATGTGTGTGTTTTAGTGTGTGTTTGTGGTGTAGCTATAAATAGACATCTTGCTTTGTATTTTGGAAGATTTCCTCATTTTACTAAATTTTTCTTTTTAGTTTTTTGCTCTCTTCTCTCTCTAGTTTTCTTTCTCTCTCTAAGGGCTCCAAGACCCTATTTTTAATTGTAATATTTCTCCATCAAGATTATAACTTTTTGGCTTATTTCTTCTCGTGGATGCATTAGAGACGTGGAGACTTCGCTTAAGGTTCATGATTTCGTTAGTCTTGCTTGTCTTTACTTATTGAGTTATTCTAGGGTTAAGATATGCACATCCATGAGTCGATTATGCTATCATCCCCGTAGGCTAGGGATTATGTGATATTGTTATTGATTGCGTGAGCGAGAATTGATTGAGAGATTAATTGATCACGAGTGACTATTGCTTGGTTGCATGTTCCCGAACCTATGAGGGCCTTCTTTCCATCTCGGGTCTAGGAGTACCTTGTTATTTCTCTTTTTATTTTTCTTTTTTGTGCAATTTGGAGGTGTTGCTTGCGATAAAGTTTGAATCTTGCTTTCGTTTTTGCTTAAATTGCGTTCTTAGCTTAATCCGAACTCCAAATCATGCGAGTAGAGTGTTTAGGATCTTTATTTTATTTTCTTGTGTGAGTCGATCGTTGTTTGAATCTGTGTCCGAATAGTCTTCCTTTGAAAACGACCCGAGTCGGGTAGCTCGGTTACCACATGCCCAAAAATACTACAAACAAGCCCACATCAACCGAGTGTGCGAGTACGACATGATTCTGTTTGAGTTTGGCTGGATCTGGGAAAATTAGAGATTTCATCTGGTAAGTGACACCCATTTGAGGTTTGGTCTTCTCTAATACCCACTTTTGGATAACGTCCCGTAAGTGCCAAAAAAAAATGAGATATGGGAAGAAAAAAATAGTGCATGTGTATGCAATCAATTTTAAAGTTGTATTCTATAGGATTAAACAAAATTCAATTTTAGGATGTACCAATTCGATTTCATTTTGAATTTTCAAATTAATATCATCTAACTCTATTTATGTTTAGAAAAAAAAAAAGAAAAAATTCTGAACTGAAGAAAGTAGTAGCCAAATGATATGAGATTTTTAAATTTTAATTATCAATTTGAAATTGGGCCGATTTCTAAGACTTTTAGAAATCCTGGAGTATTCAAATGGGATTTTCAAAAGTCTTACAAAATCTTGAGGTATTTCATTTATTTGTCCCTATAATTTATTAGGAATTTTTAAGATCTGGTGAAATTTCTAAACCGCAAAACCTTATATGAAATCTCACTTCAAATCTTACCTACAGACTTAAGATTTAATAGAATGAATTGAAGAATGGAATGATTATGGGAATGGAATGAAACAAGTTTTTCCATTGATGCGTTTGGTAGCAGAAAGAATACGACCTGAATAGAATGACATTATCATCTTTTATTTATAAAAATAAATAAAAGCTTTTTTTTAATGATAATATATTTTTAATAAATTATATATAAATGCTTTTTTAAATAATATATAAAAATAAAATAATATATTTTTAATCATATATAAAAATAAAATAATTTAAAAAATAATATATTTTTAATAATATATAAAAATAAAAATTAATATATTTTTAATAATATATATTTTCATTCTTTAATTAAACAATAAATAAAAGTATGTTTTAAATTTTTTTATTTGAATTTTATTTTATAAAATAATATATTTTTAATAATATATAAAATTAAAAAGTAATATATTTTTAATAATATATATTTTTAATATTTTTTAATAATATATTTTTAAAATATAAAAAATAATATATTTTTAATTATATATAAAAATAAAAAAATTATATTTTCAAATCATATATAAATAATATTTTTTAGTTTTATTTTTATATAAGTATTTAAGATATCTAATTTAACAATAAATAAAAGTAAGTTTTCAATTTTTTTACTTGAATTTAAATTTTTAAAAAAAATTATTTAATATATTTTAATCATGATTTATAATATATATTATATATTTATTTTTTATTATTATTTGTTAATTTTATTTTTTGAAAAATTGATTCCTACACACATGGAAATGAGAAAACCTTCCATCAACTATAGAATGACTAATTCCATGGAGATGAGTTTTGTCATTCCCATTGGATTGGTCATTCCTTTCCAAAAAAACATATCAATCATGGGATAAGGAATGAGTAAGAAAATTAACATTTCATTTTAATGTCATTCCATCGTACCAATCATGCCATAAAAATTAAAAGAAAAATGTTTTATTTTTTTGGGGTTTCACAATTGAATAGCTTATAGTAGTAATAAACATGCATATTATTCATAGAATATACGTATATGTTAAATACCAAATACGATACGGACTCCATGGGATATACCCGTGCTCTCTATGATTACAAGCATCACTCATATACTATATTATAAAAATTATTCCATCAAGAGAACAAACCAATTTCCCCAAATATGGCACAAACCCCCACTTTCCGCCTTACTTGTTTCATATATGCACGGATTTCATCACGGCCTCATATTGTTGTTCAACAATATTATTATTGACACGTAACTAGAAAAGTCCATTGTAACGCTACGGTCCCGTTACGGAATCATTCCGTCGAGTTTGTAACTGTTGAATCATCATGTAACCGTCGGTATAGTTGATCTAACGGTTATAAACCCCAACGAAATGGTGTCGTAACGGGACCGCAGCATCTCCCACATGGTTAATTAATTACACGTACAAAATCTCTTTTAATCAACCAATGCTTATCAGTAATAATCCATCTGGCCGGCAAACTTTTTTCATGCGCTATATAAGTGGGGCAGCAAAAGCACTTCAACATGTATAGTCAGTCCTATTCCTACATGAGAGGTGGCAAGCCAATGCCAATGTGGTTCACAAGACAACACACACACACACACACACACACACACACACACACATTAGAGTTCATGCACATCCATACAATTTCAAAATTAAAATAATACAAATAAATATATACACCAAAAAAAAAAAAAAAGGAATGATAGTGTTTGAGTGGTCCTAGAAACTTCCAGGTGTAATGGGGTGGGGCCCAATTACTAGGTAGCTAATAATATGTGTCTGAAACTGGTCTTGGAGGGTCAGTTTATGTCCAACATATATTGAGCTTATGTATGTATGTTCTTGCCTTCTTGGCCTATATATATAGTTGCATACCTAACAAGCAAATGTACCTAAGTCGATACTCAACAAAGTCCCAAGTTGCAAGAATATTATACTAAAGTGTTGTTATAGCTTTCGTCGTCGAAACATTCTCGTTTTTTGTTCTTCCGAGTTTCAAGCTCTCGTCGAGGCAAAAGAGAACAAGAGAGTATTAGTCATGGTTAGTTAGTAAAGACGAACTGGCAATTAACGTCGTAAAGCATATGATCATATATCAATGTTGCATAATAATATATAGTACCTTTGATTATGAATATTAATTAATTTTTGCAGGATGAGGAGAAAATGAGCCTGACTGTTTCGGACGCCGTGGACTACAAAGGCTCCCCAGCCGACAGGTCCAAAACGGGCGGTTGGATTACTGCTGCACTTATCCTAGGTTCGTGTTTTCGTTGACAAAATTTCAGATTCCTTTTTTTTAATCTGAATTTCTTAATCATGTGGCTAAATCTGACTGAGTAGTGAACTGAAATACAGGGATTGAAATCGTCGAAAGGCTGTCGACAATGGGGATAGCCGTGAACCTGGTGACATACCTTGGTGGGGTGATGCACCTGCCGAGCTCGACTTCAGCCAACATTGTAACCGACTTTATGGGCACGTGCTTTCTCCTGTGCATGCTCGGTGGATTTATCGCAGATTCTTTCCTAGGAAGATACAAAACCATCGCCATCTTCTCCGCTGTCCAAGCACTGGTGAGTTGGCTGCCTCCTTTACATGATCAGAACTTCCTGTTCTGTGAATTAATATTCGTTTGTCTGTCGTAAAATTTTTTGTTGCTCATTTACAGGGAACTGGCATGCTTGCTGTGACAACCGCCTTGCCCCAGCTCCGGCCACCACCCTGCCACCACCACCCTACCACCACCATGTGCAAGCCAGCAAACGGGTTTCAAATGGGCATGCTCTACTTGGCCCTTTACCTCATAGCCCTGGGCACCGGTGGCCTAAAGTCGAGCGTGTCGGGTTTCGGGACGGACCAGTTTGACGACAAGGACGAACGGGAGAAGGCGCAGATGGCTTACTTCTTCAACCGATTCTTTTTCTTCATCAGCATCGGGACCCTCACAGCCGTCACAGTGCTCGTCTACATTCAGGACGAGATCGGCCGCAGCCTGGCATACGGTATTTGCACAGTCGCCATGCTGGCGGCCATAGTGGTTTTCCTGTCGGGGACCAAAAGGTATAGGTTCAAGAAAAGTGCGGGAAGCCCTATCGTTCAGATTTGCCAGGTCGTCTCGGCTGCTGTCTGGAAGAGGAAGATGAGACTTCCTTACGATGTGGGCATGTTGTACGAGGACACACCCGAGTCCTCGAGAATCGCGCATACACAACAGTTCAGGTGATTTAATGCAACTTTTGGCCATGTAGTCTTTTCCTCAAAACATTATGTAATAATCACTCGACTCTCTCGCATGTTGTTACACACAGTTTCCTGGACAAGGCAGCAATTGTGGCAGAAGGAGACTTGGAGAAGAATTTCAGTTGTTACAACCCTTGGAAGCTCTGCCCGGTGACTAAGGTGGAGGAAGTAAAAATGGTCGGGCGGCTGCTCCCGATATGGGCAACGACCATTATCTTCTGGACGACTTATGCACAGATGATAACTTTCTCAGTCGAGCAAGCCTCCACCATGGACCGATCCATGGGCAGCTTCCACATCCCGGCTGGGTCCCTCACGGTCTTCTTCGTGGCCGCCATTCTCATCACACTCGCGTTCTACGACCGCGTGATCATGCCCCTCTGGAGCAAATGGAAAGGAAAACCAGGTATCACATGTCTTAGTGTTTGATAAGCATAAAAGTTAGCATAGCTTTTGATTAGCTTATGAATATCCTGTATTTAAATAAGATTGGTTTGGTAGGACAAGCTTTTTAAAAAAAAATCGAGCTTATCTCGAATAGCGTTTCAAATAAGTCCATTAAAATTTTTATTTCAACTAGTTTATCAGCTAATTTTACCAAAAACTTTTATCATATACTATAAGCTAATTTTTCAACCATAAATTATAAGTTATCAGCTATAAACTCGAAATTCGCTTTTAGAGAGCTGGCTTATAGGCTTAAAACAACTTGCACTCAAAATCAAGAACTGAACAACGAAAACCATCTATACCGGCATGTACGCGCAGGTTTTTCGAGCTTGGAAAGAATGGGCCTCGGGCTCTTTCTCTCCACAATCGGCATGGGAGTTGCGGCACTAGCCGAGATGAAGAGACTCTCGGTAGCAAAAGCCGTCCACGGGCCGGCCGCCGAACTCCCGATAAGCGTCTTCATCTTGATTCCGCAGTTCTTCTTGGTGGGAGCCGGTGAGGCCTTCATATACACGGGCCAGCTCGACTTCTTCATTACGCGCTCCCCAAAGGGGATGAAGACCATGAGCACCGGCCTTTTCCTCACGACTATCTCCCTCGGTTTTTTCGTCAGCAGCTTTTTGGTGTCGGTCGTGAAAAAGGTCACGACGGGCGGGGGAAGGCAGGGTTGGCTTGCCGACAACATAAACTATGGCCGGCTCGACTGCTTCTATTGGTTGTTGGCTATTCTTGGGGTCGTCAACTTTGCCGTTTATCTCGTGTGCGCTGTCTGGTATGGGCCGGACGGGAAGGCTAAGGCCGCCTCCACTCGGGCGGATGACGTGGACAAGTGTTGAGGGAATGTTTTGTTTACTGTGTATGTGTGTGGGTGTGTTTGCTGTGTTTTTGCAAAAGATTGAAGGCAAGCAAAAGCAGCCATGTGTGTGCCCTCTGCTGTATGACTACCAAAATATGTGTGTGTGTTGTTGAGTGCAAATTTAAATGTTAATGTATCAGCTTATGATTTGCGAATGTGCAATTTTGACCGTTATTTATCTTAACTGAAACAAAATTGTGGGGAAATGGTACGGTCACGGGGGTTTGTAATCATTAAATCAACTATCCCGACGATTACATAATGATCTAACGGTCATAAACTCTGACGGAATAGTTCCGTAATGAGACCGTAGCATTCTCATTCCCCAAAATTGTCTTAAAGATTCATATATCTTTAAGCATCACGAAACAGGACAAACAAACAAACAAGTCAAATAAAGCTACTAGATATTCTTATTCTATGGGGTGGGGGAAACAGGCCGTCTACTGTTATCAATCCTCTGATTTTAATCATGATCATAATTACTATCATTCCCACCAAACGTTGGATTGATCAAGTACGTGGAGCAAAATTAGTGTCCCTCGAAAATCCACCATAGCCATGGCATGTCTTGAGCCTCTTGTTGTTGTTAACTCTATAAATTGTCGTTAATTCTATAAATCAAAGAAACATGTACTTTAATACTAACTTATTGGGAAAATTTGAGTTATCTATATCTATATCTATATAATGGACGAATCCAATTTGCTAAAAATGGAGGAAGTTTTCTCGCTTAAAATTTTTCGAATATAATTGGAAATATTGTTTTCATAACAATCTCGTGGATAATTTTGTTAGCAAATATTTATTGATCCAGTAAATCTTGCTTGGCTATGAGCAATGATTTTATTAGCAACGATTTTGTTAGTAAATATTTTGTTAAATTTAGGACTATATACTATATTTTGGACGATAGATTTTGTTAGCAAAGATTTTATTTAACTTATATAAACATGGTATAAAAAAAATTAGAATGATTCTAATTGCATTTTTATGCAAAATATTAATATGGACATATTACCATCTTTATGTCAAATATAATTAATTTATTAATTAATATACACATATCATCTTTACGTGTGATGTGACTATATATCTGTTGATATCATTTTCAGTAAGCCAAATTAAGTGACGTTAATCCGCCGATTGAGGTCAGTATGAAGATAATTAAAATTTATACAAGTACGTGACACTTCCACCGACTTCAAGACGACTGCACGATGAGGGATTCAACAAGAACCGACATCTCCATTACTTAACCGATATCTCACGTCGGTCAACACATGTCGGTCACCACATGTCGGATACAACATACCGGTTATAACTGGATAAACCGATATCTATAATATGCCACCTCAGCACTGTAAGGCGGCGACAACTCAGCATAAGTCATCATTACGTTTGTCCAAGTGGCGAGCTATCAAGAGAAGTAGCTAAGAGCCGCCTTTGACCTTTCAAATGTAATGATTACTGTACGGATAAATATTGTACATAAATATAAAAGGAGAAAAACAATTCTCCAGGAACAGGTACAATAAGAATATTCACAAAAAATTCCATCTCTTTTTACAATATGCAAGTCCCTGTTGATGCATACTAAGTTTACTTCAAATTTACTTTAATTAGATCGTTGTTAATTTTCATTTGACAACAGTTTGGCGCTAGAGGAAGGGCCGCTTTCATGTTTTACAGTTAACTTTCGCCGTTAAGCCATTTTCGTGCTCGAAACCATCATGTCGCAGTCTGGCCGAGACCGCATGACTCCCCCTGGCCAGAGCCAATCGACTAACCATTCCCCACGGCATGCAACACCACCTCCTCCGGTCGCGAATGTCACGAACTTTCTTCAGAATCCGGAGTTTATCCAAGGTTTGACTTCATTAATAGCTCAAGCCATGCCCAGGAACTCGAATACAATGTTGTTAACTACTAACCCAACTGAGCATCCAACCCACACTCACCATGACCGTGAAACACACGTAGCGACATCGCATGCCACGTCGCAGCCTCATCATACTTCTCCACGTCAAGAAGAGCAGGCTCATGTAATTGCTAATCCCATAATGAACAGTCAAGTCCCAGATCAACCTCCTGTGCAGGAGATGACTGCTGAAAGTCATTCTGCTCATCACCAGAGAGTTTCGCCACGTCCTAGACCCGTCTCGTCAGCACCTCATGCTCGCGAAGATTTGCGGCGCCAAATTGAACGGAATCGACTGTCAAGACACAGTGCAGAGGAAATTGAAACCCTTCGTAAATGTTTGGTTGAACTTGAGACACGACAGAAGTCACAAGAAGACTCACCCCGACATATCACGACGTCGGGAAATGTTATTGTTGAGGCGGATTCCCCTTTAGCCCCCAAACTTACTGCGGAGGCACTCCCTGTGAAAGTGAAAATCCCGCAAATCGGCATGTATGACGGGACATCAGATCCAGACGCTCATTTAGGCCATTATACGTCTTGGATGGATTTACATGGGGCTTCAGATGCCTTGAGGTGTCGGATGTTCTCACTTACACTGGGGCCACGAGCCCAAAAATGGTATTATACTCTCCCACCTCATTCAATTTGGAAATGGCAGCAGTTACGTGCAGCTTTCCGGTCACACTTTATCGGTGCTCAAATTTGTCTTATCCCGAAAGAATCGATCACCAATATTGTGCAAAAGGACGACGAGACTGTTAAAGACTACGTGGCTCGGTTCAACGACCGAATCCAGAACATGGAGCCCTGACATCCTGAAACTTTGTTAGTAACTGCAATTGCTGGACTGAAGCATAATTCAATGTTTCGTTGGACCTTGTGTCAAAATAAGCCTGCTACATTTCAAGAGTTTCTTGTACGAGCTCAACAATTCATTATTGCCGAAGAATCCATGTCGGTTCCCAGTTTTGACTTCTCGGTGAAGGAAAGTAAGGCTGAACCAGATGCTAAGAAGAAGAACAAGAAGAACTTTGGGAAAGCACAATTTCGGAATTCCTCTAAAGGATATGAAAATACTCCAAAGTCTCGCGCTGCTCGTGATCAATATTCGGACAACGTCAGGACAGGTTATCACGCCGTTTACTCCGCCGGAGCAGCTACTATATATGAAGAACTGAAAGGAAAGGGAATTATCCCAGACCCGAGGCCTGTGAGAAATCCTGAAGATAAGTTGGATAAAACTCGGTACTGCGCATACCATAAGTCTCCAGGACACAATACCGACGAGTGTCTTGGTCTTTTGTCGGCACTCTTACGTTTAATCGGACAACCCCAGCTTCAAAAGTTTCGAAATTTTGATAACCGCCGGAAAGGAAGACCCTTGGATCTTTCAGACGATGAAGATGAGGATAACCGACCTGCTAACAATAAAAGAGCTCGTGCAAACGATAAGGAAGTTTTTACGTTTTCCACTCATGTCGGAACCTCGACAGATAACCGCAGGAAACCTAAGATGCATAATCCCGCAGATTCTTCACATTGTATACCTCGAATCAACTCCAATAACAAACAGTTAGATACGTCTCGATGGAAAATCAAAGCCTATGCCCGGGAGGCACAGAATGCCGAGAAACGAGTCATGAACGTTGATCTTCGAGATACTATCAACAAACGGAATTGTCCTATCACGTTTAGTATTGAAGAAGCTAATTTATTCGCTCATCCTCATTCTGATGCTCTTATCATAACCGCCCCGATTGGAGGGATTCCTGTTCATCGGATCTTGGTCGACACAGGGGCTTACTCAAGCATTTTGATGCTCCGCACCTTCAAGAAATTGGGTTTGGACCCAGCAGACATTAGGCCGTGTAACGATCAAATTCAAGGTTTTAATGGAAGCATTTCTTGCCCTGTTGGCGAAATATTGCTCCCTATTCGGTTTGGTGGCTTTGGGCCGAAGTCCAAGATCATTATGGAAACTTTCAAAGTCTTGGATGTCCAAAATGAATATAATGCTGTAATAGGGCGAACCGCACTTTATAAACTTCGTGCAGCTGTGTCGATTTTTCATTATGCTCTGAAGTTCCCCACCATTGAAGGGGAAGGCACTCATTACGGAGATCAACGAGAAGCCCGAAGTTTGATGCTGCTCTCAACCTCGCCTAATTTTCATATGATTGAAGAACGGGATGCTAATAACTTCGTTGAGCCGAGTGATTCAATTCTTGATGCTGAAAGAACTGATCAGTCCATCCCGGATACCGACGTGCCTCAAGCAGATACCGACTTGCCGCTTGTCGATACCGATGTCCCTATGACGTCGGTCCTCCCTGAAACATCAACTAAAATCCTCGATCAAGAACAACCTTTTCATGAAAGAGACATAGAAATGCACGAAGATATGGACCCAAGGATGCAGTTCAAAGATGGAAGTCATCATGTCCGGGCGGAACCCGTTGAAGATATCGAAATCATTTACGTGGATGGGTCGGCTCAACGGAAATCGCTGCGTATTGGGGCCAACCTGCAAGAATCCATTTGGTCAAATTTGATTCAGTTTCTCCAGTCAAACACTGATGTGTTCGCTTGGAAGCATGAAGACATGAAAGGGATTGACCCACAGAAAGCATGCCATCGTCTCAATTTGGAAAAAACTGTCAAACCTGTTATTCAGAAACGCCGGAAATTCGGCCCAGATCGCTAGAAGGCCCTTGAAGAGGAAGTAAACAAGCTCATAGATAATAAATTTGTCAAAGAAGCCAAGTACCCGACGTGGATATCAAATCTTGTTTTGGTCAAGAAAGCCACCGGCCTTTGGCGTCTGTGTATAGATTTTTCAGACTTGAATCAAGCATGCCCGAAAGATAGCTACCCCATTCCACACATTGATTACATGGTAGATGCTACGTCGGGACACCAACTTATGAGTTTTCTGGATGCCTATTCAGGCTATAATCAGATTCCCATGCATCCTGATGACGCTGAACATACCTCGTTCTATTCAGCTCGAGGCCTCTACTGCTATGTCATGATGACTTTCGGATTGAAGAATG